AACCCTATAAGGCCCAAACCCTAAACCCAAGCCCTATAAGGCTCCAAACCCTAAACCGTCAGCCTCCTCCTTTTTGCTGCTACCCTCGACTCTCAGGTTTCCGGTGATCAAGATGCCCAAGCCGGCCAAGGCGTAAGAGCAGCCGATGGACGCTTTAGCCGTCGGGCACCTCGCTGCCTTTTGGGGTTTAGGGGTTTCGAGTTTAGGGTTTAGAGTTTAGGGTTTGGAGTTTAGGGTTTAGGGTTCAGGGCGGTTTAGGTTTGTAGAGTTTAGGGTTTTGGGTCTGGCGCGCTCTCTGGAGCTTCTGATGAGGCTTGTAGAGCCTTGCTTCTGGATTTGTAGAGGGTGTTTGAGAGGCAAATCGGGTATGTATGTATGTATGTATGTATGTATGTATGTATGTATGTATGTATGTATGTATGTATGTGTAGGTGGAATTTACAAAAGTATGTGTATATAAAGAAAGATATATATATATATACACACATATATACGCACACATAGAGAAAGGGAGAGAGAACAAAATCTCATTTGTAGATGCACCTAACGAGCCTCCCATGCCGAAGGGTAGAAAGACAACTGGAACATGGCAGTAGTCTTAGCCTTGCAATCGCTGCATGTCGGTGTATTCCGAGCTCAGGTGCAGACAAGAGTGACACGGAGTTCTCCAGATTTCAAAGTCCGTCGCACGGGCCCGGATGTCTCGTGACCGTCCAGGTCAGGAATTCGGGTGCTGCATCTGGTGATGTGAATCCTGTGGAAGTTCATGATCAGCAATAGCATTCGCTGGTCGTCCATGTACGTGTATATGTATATATATATATATATATATACCTACATATACCCACACACACATGTGTGTGTGTGCATATGCACAATGCCTCCGCGCTACCTCAACACCCTACTCGTATTCTAAGCTTCAAAGACGGCATGACATACCCCAAAGCCCTTGTCTACGTTTCGACAACAGGCAAAACATGTATATCATCAGAAGCAGACAATGATTGCCTATACCATTTAGCATCCCCGCCGCTGGCAGAAAAGAAGTGCGTCCAGGACTCGTTGATTCAAATCCCTGGATGGTTCTTGGTTCTTGGTTCTTAGGAAGTCTTTTTCTTTATTAGCATTACTGTGATTAGTATTATGACTATTAGTATTACTAGTTGCATTACAATTTTTAATATACACAGTCAGGGTGCCAGCGTCGATTTGGAGTGTCGTTGAGCCCTCTGTGGCAAGAGGCTCCAAGTTCTGAAGCTGGCGTCCCAGCGCGAAAGTGGGAATGGAAGGTTGAAGGTGGACTGACACTAAACCCTAAACCCTAAACCCTAAACCTTAACCGAGAGAGGCTTCAGGCTTTCAAGTTTCGGGTTGCCGAAACCAGTCTAGGACATTTTCAGGTGGGTAGTTACCCTCATAGGAGCCTTATAGAAGGTCTATATACCTTACAGAAGCCTTATGGAAGCCCTATGTCCCCTAAACTCCCCACCTGAAAATGTCCTAGAACCAGACAGTGGGGGAAGGAGGAACTCCGGGGGGGCTTTGCAGGCCTAAGGTTTCAAGGCACGCCCCTAAACCCTAAACCCTTAGGGTTTAGGGTTTAGGGTTGAGGGTTTAGGGTTTAGGGTTTAGGGCCGTGTAGAAGCTGACGCACAGGACGGTTCTTGATGCTGTGCAGGTTTCAGGGCTTAGGGTTTAGGATTTAGGTTTCGGGATTTAGGGTTTGGGTTTTAGGGTCTAGCGTTTTAGGGTTTAGGGTATTAGGGTATCACGTTCACAACCCGAGTGCTTATTCGCAAGACCGCATGTCTACCATTGAAAAAGTCAACCTAAACCCTAAACCCTAAACCCTAAACCCTAAACCCAACGAAAGCCTTGCGCTGCCCAGCAAAGAGGCCGCGCCCAAAGAGGGCCCTGAAACACTGGAAGCCGTGGCTGCGGATGTCCGCCCCTCAGTGCAGGGTTTAGGGTTTAGGGTTTAGGGTTTAGGGTTAGGCCATGGGCTTTGCAGAGTTTGCAGTCGGTTTCTGATCTTCAATCGCGACCAGAGCCTATAGATTGATAACGACGACGACCACAGCAACGGCAGCAGCACCAGCAACGATAATGATAGAAGCCAGAATAAGACTTGTAATCATGAAGAGTTGCCAGTGCAATTGCAATTGCAGGTATGATTGCAACGACCAACAAATAAGCAAACATCACGACAATTAAGAGGGGATTGTGATATCTTCTGATAGTCGCCATGAATATACCGGCCCACTGTAAAACAGAATCTCAACCCTAAACCCCCGAATGCCAAACCCCTAAACCCTACACCCGAGGACCTCGACCAGACTCTTCTGCCACCGGAGGATGCCGTCAGGCGACAACACGCTTTTAGCAGGTTTCAACTAAGTTCGGGTTTAGGGTTTGAGTGTTTGGGTTGTAGGGTTTGAGGTTTTGGGTCTAGGGTTTAGGGTGACCAAACAAGGGTTTGATACCTTTGGGGGTCTTAAACCCAAAGCCCCAAGCCGGAAAAGTAAGAGGGAGTTGGTTTTACTTTTGCTTCTGACAGCTGGCGGCAGCAATTCGTGGCGGGAGTTAGGTCTTTTTGAGGCTAGGAGTTCGAACGAAGAGCAGGTTTGAGGCAAACAGCCGACCCCTCTGTAATATTTCTGTGTAATCTTGTTATTATCAGCGTTATTCTTCTTATTCTTCTCAGTAGTATGCGTATGACTATTGTTGTTACGTACCATTATTGTGGTTATCATGAACAAGATCAATACCACTATCAGATTACTATGGCTGTTACAGTGACTATGACTATTACTAGTACTGAACCAATACCATTACTGTGACTGTGACTGTGACTACTGTTAGTATTGCTGCTTTTTCTACTACTATCACTACCGCTGCTGCTACTACTACTACCACC